GAGTGGCTGAGGGAGGGGTCTGGGGAGGGGGCCGAGCCTGGGCAGCCACTGGTGCCACTCAGCCTCTGCTGTCACTGCCACAGTCCTCCCAGAAAAAGAGCTGCGTGGAGGAGCCGGAGCCGGAGCCGGAGCCTGAGGCCGCAGAGGGCGACGGTGACAAGAAGGGGAACACCGAGGGTAGCAGTGATGAGGAAGGGAAGCTGGTCATCGACGAGCCCACCAAGGAGAAGAATGAGAAGGGGGCGCTGAAAAGGAGAGCAGGGGACCTGCTGGAGGTAACTGGCCTCCCTGGGGCCCCGGGGCTGGATTCCCGGTCTGAGAGAGGCCGGGCCCCTCGTCTTGGGGAGTCCCTTGCTGAGAAGCAGAAGGCTGGGCAGGGACTGGCCTATCCAGGGAGGAGCCTCTGGAGAAAGGAGGGGGAGGCCCAGGCAGGTGGCTGCCATCCTCCCTCTCGAGCCTCAGCCCACCTCATCCATCTCTAGGACTCCCCGAAACGTCCCAAAGAGGCAGAAGATCCTGAAGGGGAGGAGAAGGAGGTGGCCAACTTGGAGGGTGAGCGGCCCTTCCCTGTGGAGGTGGAGAAGAACAGCACCCCCTCGGAGCCCAGCTCTGGCCGGGAGCCTCCTCCAGAGGAAGAGGAGGAAGAGGCTGCCAAGGAAGATGCTGAGGTCCCAGGCATCAGAGATCACGAGAGGTGAGTGCGCCCTGACCTGGGAGGGCCCAGCCGCCTCTGGCGAGGAGTGCGCCCTGACCTGGGAGGGCCCAGCCGCCTCTCGGGAGGCCGGGTGGACTTGGCCAGGAGATGGCACTGGCTGGGGCGAGGGCAGGCCAAGGCCTCATCACTAACCCTTCTCCCCTCTAACCCTCCTTCACAGCCTGTAGCCACCAATGTTTCAAGAGGAGCCCCTGCCCCGTTCCTGCTGCTGTCTGGGTGCTACTGGGGAAACTGGCCATGGCCTGCAAACTGGGAACCCCTCCCCACCCCACCTGCTCTCTTCCACTCACTCTCCCTCCCCAAGCCCGGTCCCCGGAGATCGACCTCCATGCCCCCACACCGCTGGGATCTGAGTCAGGGCTATGTCTTCTGCTCCATGGGCTGAGATGAGGCCACTATGTCCCTCCCTGCCTGGATCTGGGTCCCAGGGTTTCTGGACCAGCTGTTTTCATCTCCTTACACCCTTTTGCCCCTCCCCCAGGCATTCTGGGTCTCTGGGTTGGTTTGGGTCAGAGTTAGGAGTAAAAAGGATGGAGGGTAAATGGCAAGGGTGGGCTTCTGGGCCCTGAGAGGGACAGTCCTCAGATCGGGGTGGGGAGTGGGCAGGAGGACGGCATCTTCTTGAGCTCCTGTCCCTTCCTCCGACACCTGTTATCTCAGCTGCCTAGATTCACGGAAAGTGGGACAGCTTGCAGGGGAGGGCCTCCCTCGATGATGGATAACACCCATTTTTCCCTTTGCTGATAACCCCAGGAGTTCTGGGAGTTGTAGTTATTCATCAAAAGATTTTGGGCTTCCAGTTGTTTGGCCCATGGACTTGGGATCTGAAGGGCCGACTTCGCTCAGCTTCGGTGGGAGTGTTGAGGAGTAGCTTCTCCTTTTAGATCTTGGGCCAGAGATGTGATGCCCTGGGGAGACCCCTCACTGCCCTTTCCCTCTCCCCACAGTGCTCAAGGCCAGCCTGCAGTCACATGTCACCCAGACATAAAGGAGAGACACATTTTTTAGGAAATGTTTTTAATAAAAGAAAATTTAAAAAAAAATTTAAAGATCCCTATCCCTCTGTGTGGCCCCCACTCCGCTCTTTTCTTCCTCGCTGTTGCCCTCGTTTCTGAGGTGCACTGGGAGGCTCCCCTTCTGCTAGGGCTTGATGACGCTCCTTCTGTAGTTGGGGCTTTGGTGTCCCTCCTGGTGTCATTTCCCACCCACACGCTCCCACCCGGCTCCCTCCGTGTTTCACCAGATCCGATTGTACCCACTGAGAGGCAGGGAAGTGAGTGCCCCTCCCAGCCTCTTTCTCGGGGTCTCTCTGCCTCTTCCATCTCGTGCCCCTCTCCCTCTCCCTAGGGCTCTGATGAAAAATTGCTGACTGTAGTTTAGCTCTGAGAACCGTAGACAATTTCAGTTCTAGGAAAATAAACTTGTTGATTACTACACTGGATTCTGACTGATTTTTGGGGGGTCTATTGAGAGGGAGAGGAGAAGGGGAATACAAATGATTTCCAAATTAACTTTCAGACTGAGGTAGGGGGTATCAGCCTCTCCTTCATTCTCAGGCTGTTCAAAATGTCCAAAGTTCTGCATGAAGGCAAAGTCACAATACACTATTTCGTTTTACTTCTCTGGCCCAGTCACTGTTTAACACAGGTTTCTCCATAAGCACCTGAAAAGGTAAAAGTGCAAACGATGGAGGTGTCAGTGTCGATACCAGGCACAGCCCACACGACCATGGAAGTGGGGCATCTGGGTTGGCTGTGGAAGTAACTGACACCCAAGAGCTGAGTAAACAGGCACCTTTCACTGGTGATCAGAGGCGAGGGGGTTGGTAGGTGGAATCTTCCCGGGTGGATGAGATCATCGATCATATGCGGATCCTGGCGGATTTGACATTTCGTGACCAGATCATTGGCTGACAGTGTTTTAATCTGCCTCGGCCGCCACCGGCAGAGAAGAGCGTGTGGGAAGAGTATTATCCGTAGCCTTGCCTGGAAAGGGTGGCTCTCTGCTTTAAACTGGAAGCCACAATCATGTAGAAAATGGAGCCATCGTCTCAACTACAATTCCCAGCAGCCCACACAGCTTGTTCAGGGTTGAGCCCGGGGCGGCAGCCTATCGCGCTTGGCCTCCAACGCCCGTGGTGCTTCGCGGTGAGCTTACGCTTCCTTGATTTCCTATCCGACCCCATTTCCTGTTTCAGCTTGCTTCGTAGCGGCGGACTACAACTCCCAGCATGCAGAGAGGCTAGATTGATTGAGCTTCCGCTCTCCGGTAAGACTACATTTCCCAGAAAGCCGAGGGACGGGGACGGGCAGGACTTGGGGCCCACATGCAAGAGGTAACAGGCGGAAGGGCCGCGGTGCAACGGGTAGTGGAGGTGAGGCCCGCTCAGCTTGGGGATGTTGACAGCCTTGGGCTCGTGGGGGAGGTGGGTGCGGTAAAGGCCTTCCGTTTCCCGGGCTGTTGCTCAGTGCTATCGCCTGGATTTGCCCTGCACCGGAAGCTTGGAGCGGGTGGGTGCTGCCCACTGCTGGGACATGCCCGCACCTGGGATGGGGCTGGCGGGAAAGCCTTTGGAGCTGGGGCCTGAAGGGCAGACGCGCCACCAGGCACTGCCTTGCACGGCGCTTTACTGTGAAAGAGACACCAACCACTCCAGGGTATGGAGAGGGGGGTTCGCTTTTGGGGTCTCCTCCCAGAGCTTCAGATTTAGAATGGCTGAAGCTAAAGGACTTTTTGCAGGAGTCGTGGGTCTTAGGATGGGCTCTGCCCGTCTAGCTGTGTGAGCTGGGACAGGCACACAGCTCTCGGGGCCTCGGTTTCCTGGTCTCACAGGGCAGTGTGAAGACCAAATGACAGCAAGAGTGAAGTTCCCAGCATTGGTTCTCATAGTCGTGCTCACTAGACCGTTTGTTACTTCTGAATGGGAGCATTAAGACCCTCACGTTCAACTAACATTCAAAATAACGTTAGGCCTTTTTCATATTGAGAAGTATAAAGAAATGTCTGTTTAGATAAACAATTTTTTAAAACTACCCATGGTTAAGAAATGCAAACGTCGTGGTAAGGAACAGATGGAAAGAGCCCTCCCAAACTGTTCCTCTCCCCAAAACTGGAGTTATTTCCTAATTCCTTCCGATAAATATTTATGCCTGTACCAGAATACATTTTTTTTAAATTTACCCAAAAGGAATAATACTGCTTACATTATTCTTGAACTATTACAAATAATTTGAATGACACCAACAAGCCTGTAAAGTTTTATGGATGATGAAACAGGCTCAGAAGTTAAGTGGCCTTGGGTCACAGAATAAGGTGAAGTAGGAACTAAAACCTAGACCAGGGGTCCTCAAACTACGGCCCGCGGGCCACATGCAAATACAAATATTGTATTTGTTCCTGTTTTGTTTTTTTACTTCAAAATAAGTTATGTGCAGTGTGCATAGGAATTTGTTCATAGTTTTTTTTTAAAACTATAGTCCGGCCTTCCAACGGTCTGAGGGACAGTGAACTGACCCCCTGTTTAAAAAGTTTGAGGACCCCTGACCTAGACCATCTAACTCCCCGTCCAGACATGTTTATGCCATTGCAGTGGACTTTATTTGTACTTGAGACTTGGCTTCATTCTTAGCTCTACAACAAGGTTAATGCTGCCTCCTTTCTTACATGATACAATACAGGAAAGCGCTTAGATGGCACCTGGCAGGTAGCAAATGCTCAATAAACAGAAGCACTTAACTTTTGCCGTCAGTTCTCCACCACCCTGTTGATTTAGTTCATCATAATCCTAGAGTCTGGCTCTGGGTCCTCTTCTTTTAGAAAAGAAGCTGTCTTAGGAGTGGTCTTTTCCTGACGGAAGATAGGAATTGGAAGTAATGTAGGAACATTTTAATAACAGTTTTACCTCTGTTCCCTGTTTGTTATACTTCATAACTGCCTGGTGTTTTTTTTTGGCCTTATGCTAGTGTTTTGTTCCATTACCTGTTTTCTTCCTATCCTGCTGTTTGTGTATTTATTCAATAACTTTTTATTGTGTACCTACTATGTGCCACGCCCTACTGAGATCTGTTGAATTCAGGGGTGAGCTAGATAATATGATTCCTGGCCTCAATGAACTCTTTGGACTTTGGAGTCAGATATATGTGGGTTTGAATGCTGATTCTCCTGCAGAGTAGCTTTACGGCCATGGACAAGTCAGTTAACCTCTCTGGCTCTATTTTCTCATTTGTAAAATGAAGGTGATATAATATGGGGATTCAACGAGATGAGGCCCATTGAGCAACGGAGTAAATACTTACAAAAAATCCCTTCCTTTGCTTCTTTGTCCCCCTGTCTACCCCAGCGCTGACCAGGAAGGTTTCTGGGTCCTTCCCTGGCCCGGGGATTTCTCACAGCCTTCAGCCATGCGTCTCTCGGCCCTGCTGGCCTTGGCATCCAAGGTCACTTTGCCCCCCAACTACCGCTATGGGATGAGCCGCCCAGGTACAATGGCAGACAAGAGGAGGAACCCGCCAGGGACCCGGCGGCGCCCCGTGGCTGTGGAACCCATTTCTGATGAAGACTGGCATCTGTTCTGCGGGGATAGGGTGAGAACCTCAGGGCGGGTAGAGTGGTGGTGGGGCTCCTGGGGAAGGATCTTCCTCCCTGACCCTCATGTCTTGCCACAGGTGGAGATTCTAGGAGGCAAGGATGCCGGGAAGCAAGGCAAAGTGGTTCAAGTCATCCGGGAACGAAACTGGGTGGTCCTGGAGGGGCTGAATACAGTAAGTGAGGCGTGGGGTGGTGGATGCTCAGGAAGCCTGTCCCATCCATCCCTGTCAGTAAGAGCCGCACAGGGCCTGGCGCTGGCTGCGGGCACGGTGAGACCGCTGAGCCTTCCGTTCTTCAACATGGACCGATGCTCAGGGCCGCCGTAGCCAAGTTGCCTTCATTCCCTTTGGTTTCTGATAACCCCCTCTTTTGGACAGCATTACCGCTACATTGGCAGGACCAAGGATTACCGAGGAACCATGATCCCTAGCGAAGCACCCTTGCTCCACAACCAGGTCAAACTTGTGGATCCTGTGGACAGGCAAGCACGGGGGGTTCTGGTCAGATGGTTTCCATCGTCTGAATGGTGGTTGGGATGCTCTGGAAGTTGAGAGGGGTCATCTTGTGGGACATGACCCTACAGGCAATCCCAGTGCAGAGGTAGCAGTGAAACAAGATGGTGACCTCAGTATTTCCAGCCATTGAATCTTAGGTTTCAGAGCAGCAGGGAAACCTGGCTCCCAGGCCAGGCTCACCTCTTCCGCCCACTAGGAAACCCACTGAGGTGGAGTGGAGGTTCACTGAGGCAGGAGAGCGGGTCCGAGTCTCCACAAGATCAGGAAGAATTATTCCCAAACCTGAATTTCCCCGAGCGGACGGCATCGTCCCTGAAACATGGATTGGTGAGGCTGGGGATGGACAGGAAGGTGGGGGTGGGGGTGGGGGTGACCGAAGTGGGAATAAAAGATGTTAAGACCTCCCACTTGTCTTCCTTCCTCAACAGATGGCCCTAAAGACACATCAGTGGAAGATGCTCTAGAAAGAACCTATGTGCCCCGTCTGAAGACACTGGAAGAAGAGGTGATGGAGGCAATGGGGATCCAGGAGACTCGGAGACACAAGAAAGTCTATTGGTATTGAACCTGGGGGGAGCTTCGCCCCCTCCTAGTCTTAGCCTTGAAGGCTGGGGCCACATCACCTTCAGACGTCAATAAAGAGCCATGATTCCTCCTCTCCGTGCAGCTGCTGTCTTCTGGCACCCCTAACCCTAACCCCACGGTACCTGTTTCAGGGACTGGAGGAGGGGAGCATCTGTCCCAGTGTTGTGGATCCAGAATGGAAGTTCGCTAACCTTAAGGTGGCCTTCCCAAGGGGCAGGGCTGACAGATTCTGGGACAGAGACCAAAGGGAGAGAGGCTCCCTCCAATGGAGACCTCTGAGTAACAGAAGATGCCACCTGTTCTGGAGGGCAGTGGAGTTTGGGGGTGTAAGATCTGATTGTTGCATCTCTGCAGGATCTAAGTAGAGAGGGTGCACATCTGTCCTTTTCTATACTTAGAAGTGGAAGGGAAATAAATACTCTAATTTTTTTTGGCAATCTTCACCCGAAGATATTTTTTCCATTGATTATTTTAGAGAGTAGGAGGGAGGGGGAGAGAGAAACATTGGTGTGAGAGACACACATCAATTGATTGTTTCTCGCAAGCACCCGGAGGCTGGGGATTGAACCTGCAACCCAGGTACATGCACTTGACCAGGAATTGAGCCCATGACCCTTTGGTGCACGGACCAACACTCTAAGCACTAAGCAACACTAGCCAGAGCAAGATTTTAAATTTTTAATAAATTAAAAATAAGTTTTTACATAATATTACATAACACATGGAGGGAGAGAGAGTACGAAGCTGAAGGTCTGTGGGACACCATGATTCTGGGGAGGATGCAGGATGCTGCTTCTCTGGGTGAGGAGTGCAGACTCTGCCGCCCACTGTGGCACCTGGGTGGTTTCAGATGGGGTCCAAGATGCACCTTTCCTCAGAGTGCATCAGCGTCTTCAGTCTCCAGAACAGAGAAGGCCTGACCCAGGGGCCTCTTGGTAGCCACCAAAACCAGGTTTCTGGGAGAGAGTTCAGGGCTGAAGATGGGCAGGAGCTCAGAATGGAAGCCTGGAAGAAAGGCAGGACTGCTGAGAAGAGTAGAAATGAAGCCCACTCAGCCCCACTTCTTGCCCAGGCTGCGGGCAGGCATAGCCCCTTTCCCCCATGGAGGCCCCGGGATACTAAGGAGACCCGGGTCTCTACCAGGAACACCGGTGCCTGAGGTGCTGACTTGGGAGAAGGCAGTCCTCAGTACTGCCTGGGACACTCGCTTAAAGTACACTTCAGGAATGCACGCCGGAGGCCGAGTCAGTAGGAATCTCTCTTTACAAGTCCCCCACCCCACTTCCATCCCACGGTGACTCTGAAGCAGGTGGTCTAAGAACCACTACAGTGATGTAATGTGGGACTCGAAGGAGGAACCCCAAGGTCCAGCCCCTCTAGCCCTAGGTCCCTGCTGTAGGCCGCCCTCACCCTGCTCCTGAAGGAACAGCAGCCGGTCCAGTAGAATCAGTGTCTCCACCAGTGGGGCCAGCAACAGGGCCAGGCTGAAGAAAGCTACCACGCGGTTCTCCTGGGCCTGGTGGGCCTGCAGAGCAGCCAGATTCAGTGGCAGCTGGGGATCCAGCCCCACCCGCTGCAGCCCCCGCTGCACATATCTGTGGGTCAGCCACACACAGCACTCAGTTGGTTTTAGAACCTCCACCTCCCACTCAAACTGTCCACTCCTCATTTGATTCCAACTTTGCTTGATTTGCTACCCTAATTTGTATTTTTTTTGTTGTTAATTGATTTTAGAGAGGGAGGACGGGGGAAACATCGATGTGAGAGATACATTGATTGGTTGCCTCCCGTACTCACCCCGACTAGGCGGGGATCAAACCCACGACCTGCCATGTGCCCTGACCGGGAATAGCACCAGGGCCTGCTTTCTGTCGCCCTTCGGCATATTCCGGTGCACAGGACGACCCTCCAACCAACCGAGCCACACCCTCCAGGCAGGGCCTAATTGGCACTTTTAAATGTTTCTCTGGCTATGACTTGTCTATCCAATAACAAATTGATCCAAAAATGTATTTTCAGCCAGACCTGTCCAATTACTTAGCCATATTCTTAACATTTAAGAGTCTTGACAGTCTACTGATAAAAGAATGACAACTCCCTTTTAAAGAAATTTTGAGAAGCTGCCCCAGTCAGAGAACTCAATCACTCCCCTGCCTGCATTTCGCTTCACTGTAAGACTTGCTAACGAGCGAGGGTGGGAGGGGAATCGGACCTCCGGTGGGCTCCCAACACCCCCGCCCCCCAACCTCCTCCAGCCTCACTCTTCAATCTTGAGCTCGTGGACCCTGGGTATCCCCTGCACGCCTGGCCGACGGAGCTTGGGCTGGACGTGCCGGATGACCGTCTCCAGTGCTGCCCGGTAGCAGTGGGTCCGGAGGCCAGGGCCTGCTCTCTGTAGCCTCTCGGCGTATTCCTCCAGGGCGTGGCAGGCCCCCTCCCGCAGCCTGTAGGACAGTTCATGGCCAGGCAGCGCAGCCACCCACTGACTCAGTGGGTAGCCGCCAGGGTCACTCAGCTTCATGTAGCAGCAGCCCACTGAGGCCAGGGCCACCACCTCAGGGCAGGAGGAGAAGTGCCTCAGCAAGGCGACGCTCAGGTCCCCGCAGGCATGGAGGCCTGTCAGCAGCAAGCGGGCCTCACCCTGAGGGGAGGTCTCCAGCGGAAGCAGAACCTCCTCACACAGGGTCCTAGGGTCTACCCACTGGGCCACATGGTGCGGGGAGCGGTGAGAGTGCGTTTGCACCACCTGTGGAGGGAGGAAAGGACAAGGCAGCTGGGAAGTCTGTGTGCCGTCCCCATGCCACCTCAGGCTGCAGGAGGGGTCTGTCCTCTGTGTTCCCTCCTAAGGAAGAAGATGGAGAAAAAGCTGGGGCATGGGAGAGAGCTAGACCTGGAACCAGAAGGGATAAATTACGGATGTGTCATTATAACTGCAAATTTTTCATGTCTGAGTCCCAATTTCCTCATGTGTAATGAGTCTAATACCCGACTGGCCACTTCACAGGTGGTGGTGAGATGGACGGACCCGTGTGGAAAGCACTTTGGAACCAGAGTGCCTCTAAGATGTGAAGAGGCTTTGGCGAAGGGGAGACCTGGGGGAGGGGGAGCGGGGATCAGGACCACATCATCTCAAGCTGAGAAACGTGAAAGCGGGAATCCAGCCAGGCAGACCCCGCTGCTGCAGTAAGGGCAGGCCTACCTGCGGGCTCCTCTTCTCCTCTTTTCCCAGAGTCTGCAGGAGCTCCTGGTCCAGGTGCTGGGCTCTCTCCACCAGCCTCTGATCCCCTTCGATGCTCTTCACCTTCAGCCCTAGCCCCAGAGACATGAAGCGGGAGAGATGGCCCTGGAGTCATGAGAGGGAGGGTAGAGACAGCCCTGTTCAGCTCTTATCTACTGTCACCTCTTTCAGTGGCCAAGACACCTGGGTCCCAGGCGCCCAGAGGGCTTAAATTCTACCGTTTACTTCTATCACCCCTTGGTACCTGCCTCCCTGGGCCTAGGCCTGACAACCTGTTGCCTTCCAGCTGTTCTATCTCCACACTCAACCCCCCCCCCTGCCCCCTCCTCCACACACACACACAAACAACAACAAAAATAAGAATGTTAGGAGTGTCTGGCTCACCTGGCCTGAGCCTACATCCACAACCTGGGTGCAGCCTGTGAGGTCACTCAGCTTTTTCACCAACTGAAAGAGAAGGGAATGAAGGTCTCTTGGCCATTGGTTCTTGATTCCCGGGACCATTAGCCATAATGAGGGTGGAGAAGATGAAGATGGCAGAGGAAGAGGGGTAGAGGGTGCCACGGAAGATACGAGATAGGGAAACCAGAACTAGCGGTGCTGACCCTGGGCTCAGGCTACTCTCCTCCCTCCTCTAAGGTCAGTGATTCAACCTCCCCCCAGAACAAGAAGAGCCCCTCTGTGAAGCCATGAACAGATTATGGAGGTGTGAACACAGGAATAAGACAGTGACTCCGACAAGGCTACCAACCAACACAGGATAAAAAACAAAAAAACACAAATCCCCCAAACCAGCATCAAGCTGGGGTTTTCCTACACCTGCCAAGGAAGGGACCGGCAGATGACATAAGGTGCCCACATCTTTGTAACCCACTGGCTTCAGTCCCCAGGCTCCCAGACACCACCTATACCCCAGGCATCTCCTCACCTCTCCCAGCCGCCGGATCTCATGCTGCTTCTTGGGCCTGACATGTTTTCGGAACGGAGCTTTAAGTCGGGAGCTCTGGCTGGGGTTCTCCCGAAACTCTGAGGGGGCCTGAAACTTAGGTGTCCGGGTAAAGGCCAAGGCATAGGCTGTGGACTTCAGGGCCAGCAGGGTGAGTGGCCACACTGACCTGTACCTGAGATAGCCCGGCCCAGAACCCCAGTGAATCGTTCCATTGTGTCCTGGGTGCACCCGTTTACAACCCAGGAATCCCTTGTGAGACCCTCTGAGCAATGACCGGCTACAGGGTTCAGTGCCAAGTCCCCCAGCACAGGGCCCCCCTTGCCCGTACCTGACCACCTCCCCTTCCCCAGGCATCCCCAGCAGCTGTGTGGCCAGCTGTGGTGGGTTCAGTCCATCCAATGCTTCCTGCCATGAGCAAGGGAGTGTGCCCCACAGGTTGTCTGTAAAAAATTCCTGCAGAAGGGGAGAAGCAATCAGCAGGCTCCTACCTTTCCCAAGCTTTCCCACCCCACTCTCAACACAGGGCCACTGGCTGCAACCAGCAGGTACCTACTACGCATCCGAGCTACCTCTTCTCTAAAGCCCGGCCCAGCCTCCCACTCCTTCCTCAGAGCCCAGACTGCGTTCTGAACACACCGCTCCGTTTAGCTACCAATTTCCCACTTATTTGTGTTTTCTCCATTCAACTGAATGAAGAACCTAGAGAAGGATGGTGCCTTCTCTACAATCCCATCCACACCACCACAGTGACTAACATGCAGTGTTAGTATGTTACCATTTAGTAACGGACCTGTATATATGTCAGACACTTGATAGGCCAGAATGTATTTTTATTCATTCATTTGTTGAACACAAATTCTGGAGTTTTGTGTATGCACCACATTCTATTCTAGGCTCTGAGGATACAACAATGAACCAGACAGACAAAATTCTTACTCTTGCACAGTTCACATTAAAAAGAGATGTTTTTCAGAACATCAAATGACACATGGATAAGAAAACACTAACAAAACAGTAGGAGACGTTGAGACAGTACCACTTTAGGTAAGACTAATGAGGAAAAGACCTGAGTTGACACTTGAGCTGAGACTTGAATGATGAACAGGAAACAGGCATGTAAAAAAAAATTATGTAATAGCAAACACTTATTAAATACTTATAATATGCCAGGCACTGTTCTAAACAATATATATATATATATATATATATATATATACACACACACACACATACACACACACACACACACACACACACACATTTAACCCCCAAAACAACCCTATGAGGTAGGTACCATTTTTATCCCTCATTTTACAGATAAGAAAACTAATACATAAGTAAGTAACTTGCCCAAATCAAAAAGCTAGTATCAGAGCTGAGATTTGAAATCAACCTGACTTTAGAATTCTTGCTTTTAACCATTCTACTCTATAGCCTTTCTGCTGAGGACAAACATTCCTGGCAGATCTGTAAGAGCAAAGACCCAGATGTCTGCCATATTTGTGGAGCAAAAATCAGGCCACTGGAGGTACAGTACAGTGAATGTGGGAGAGAATGAAATGTGACAGGATTCAAGAGACAGCAGGGGACAATCCCATAGGGCTTCCTGGGTAGCACAGGTATTGGTAAAGAGTTAGGATTTCAGCAAAACACCTAGGAAGCAAGGGACTGCCATGATCAGATTTTTATTTTAAAGAGATTAATCTGGCTGCTTGTGAAGAGTTGATTATGGAGGGACTGAAGTAAACACAGAGATTAATTAGGAAGCAGTCCAGGAGAGGTGATGGTAGGTTGGTCCAGGATGGTAGCAATGAAATGGAGACAAATGGGTGAACTCGGTATCTTTTCTAGAGGTAGAGCCAACAGGAAGTGTTGAAGGATTGGACTGTAGATCAGTGAAGGAAAGAGCTGAATCAAGAATGACTTCTGGGTTTAGGGGCTGAACAATTCAGTGGATGCTGGTGCCACTAACACATCATCTCATTCATTCTTCACAAGGACCCTTCAAACAGGATTCCATGTTATATCTGAGCAACCGGGGCTAGGAGGAATTTTCATTTCATACCTATGTAAGTTAACACAGCAGGGGAGGTAGGATTCTAGTTGGAGCCTGCCTAATTCTAAAGTTTAAATTGTCCATTACATTACAAAACCAGGAATTTATTCAAAGCGTGGATGAATGAACTTGTGTGTTCTGGGAATACCTCACATGCTCCTAGGACAGTTCAACGTAGCTGCAAGCATGTGTTTTATCAGTTTGGATTTGGAAAAATAACCTAGATATTAGAAATATGAATGTTTGTCATCTGCAAAAAAACAAAAAAGAAGCTCCCCCGTTTTAACCCCTTCTTGTAACGACAGACTGAAAATCATGAAAGAAAAGAGATGAGACCCTAATTCTCCAGATCAGTGGTTCTCAACCTTCCTAATGCCGCGACCCTTCAATACAGTTCCTCATGTTGTGGTGACCCCCCCAACCATAAAATTATTTTCGTTGCTACTTCATAACTGCAATTTTGCTACTGTTATGAATCGTCATGTAAATATCTGATATGCAGGATGTATTTTCATGATTACAAATTGAACATAATTAAAGCATAGTGATTAATCACAAAAACAATATGTAATTATATATGTGTTTTCCGATGGTCTTAGGCGACCCCTGTGAAAGGGTCATTCGACCCCCAAAGGGGTCGCGACCCACAGGTTGAGAACCGCTGCTCCAGTTGCTCTCCCTGTCGCGGGCACCCAGCCAAGCACACAACCAGGAGCACCCCGTCCCCAACCCCGTGGCCTCACGATGATGTAGGCGTCCAGGATGGAACGGTAGAGCGACAGCACCCGGGTGAGATTCACAGCTAGCTGCCTCCTCTCCTCGAGAGAGAGGCCCCGGGCGGAAACGCCTGGCATCGGGGCCCGGTCGGTGGCGCCTGGAGCGAGAACGCGGTGAGGACGGAAGCAGGGTCGGCACCACGCGGATCCGGAGCCCCGGCTGGGTTCAGCTCTGCAGGCGGGGCGAGAAGAAAGCGCTCAGCATTGGCCCGAGACGCTGCCTCTTCCAGGTTCCAGATGGAGGTTCAAGACCCGAGGCGTCCTCCTGACATCACAGGTCGCGACGTCCACAGCGCGAAGCTGTCAGCACGGAAAACAAGCGGCGTGGGCTGCCGGACTGTGACGCCACAGAGGCGGGCCGCGGCGTTCAGGCCCCGCCCACCCCCGCACGCCCCGCCCACCCCGCGCACTTCCCGCCCATCCCGGAAGTGGGGCTCGGGGCCCTAGCGCGCGGCAGTTCCCGCTCGTCTCGGCCTCCCCACACCTTCGAGTTGTACCTCCACGGGGCTAGAGGGGCCGGGAGCGCGCCCCGCCTCGCCGCGCTGCCGCTGCTCTAGCACTCGGAAGTCCGGACCTCGCTCCCAGGGGCAAGGATCCTACGGCCTCCGGCACGTTCCCCGCCGCGCGCCTGCCGGCCCGGGGCCCCGTCGGCGCGCGCCCATTTCCGTATCCGGTTTCAAGCGTTTCCGTTCTCAGCGGGCACATCTGAGAGGTAGGTGGTGATGGCGAGGAACAGGCTTCTGGACCGCCCAAGTGTGCTCGCCGAGGTAACTGCCCCCGGCCTCGGCCTCCCCCGACGCCCACCCCCGCTGCTGTGTGTTGTAAAAGGTCCTTTCTTGGGAGAAGGACGTGGGTGAGAAGCCTGTGGAGATGGCCTCCACCCGGAAACGGGGGAAAGGGGTACCTGGAGTTACACCTATTCGTGGGACCCGCGCTGGGGATGCCTGGCAGATCTAGATAGATGCCAGGTAAGAGTCATCTACGCCGTCCTCATCCCTGGTTTCGAGCGTACTTAGACGTTCTCTCCCTGGGCGGATGTAGAGCCCACCTGTCCCGGCTTTCCAGACTCGGAAAGAGAATCAGGCTGGTTGGCCCGCCAACCCCCTCATTTTACCAGTGGGACAGATCTAGAGATGGGGAGGTGACCTTCCTGAGGCCATGGGACTGGTGAATCGCGGGCTTGTCTCGGATAGTGTCCTGTCACTTCACATTACAGATTTGCTCCCCCTCTACCTGGGAGGTTGCTCTGCTTTATTTCCTACCTTAAGTTCTATGGAGTCGTATTGTTCTCCCATCTGAGATCTGTTATCAGTTCACTTTCTTCCCCAGGGTGTACTACAAACCTTCGGATGCTGGCCTGTGGGACTCAGCAGAGGATGAGTCCTCTCTCCTTTCATTGGTGAGCCACTCTTCCCAGCTGCTCTCCTACCATCCACCATCCTCATGTCTACCCTACTCCTCAATCTGGATTTTGGCGAACCTCCCCCCAAAAAGGCATTAGAAGGGAATGCCAAGCACCAAAAGTTTGTCAGGAAGCGGCGGTTCTTAGAGAGGAGAGGCTTTCTGAATAAGAAGAAACAGCCCCCTAACAATGTGCCCAAGTTGCACTCAGAACCTGCAAAGAAAGGGGTAACTCCTCAGGTGGATGGCGCTTGGAAAATTTCTCCCCCTCCAAAAAAGAAGAAGACTGCAGACTCGAGCAGTGGGTCAGAGCGGTCCCTGGACAAGAAAGCCTCGGTGCCCTGGCTGACCCCTGCCCCTTCACAGAAGACTGGTTCTGTTGTGGCGAAAGTGGATTTGCTGGAGGAGTTCCAGAGTTCCCTTCCAGAGATTAAGAGCCCCCCAACTCGCCCTCAGAAGAAGAACCCCCAAAAAAACCCTATTCAGAAGAGTACACCGCATAACTCCACCCTGGCTCGTTCAGAGAATAAATGCTCTGGAGCATCCCAGAAGACGCCAAGGAAGATGGTGGCAATTGACTGTGAGATGGTGGGCACAGGACCCAAGGGGCATGTGAGTTCCTTGGCTCGATGTAGCATCGTCAACTACAACGGGGATGTGCTCTACGATGAGTACATCCTTCCTCCCTGTCACATTGTGGACTACCGCACCAGATGGAGTGGTATCCGCAAGCAGCACATGGTGAATGCTACCCCCTTCAAGATTGCTCGGGGCCAGGTGAGCGTCATGGGGCACAAGGATAGCAGCCAGGTGGGTGGGGAGAGGTCCAGGTAAGTGCGGACAGTGTTGGTGGTAGGAGAAGGCAGAATATTTACAGAAAGAGCTGGGGATTATTTGTATAACTGGAACAGGTAGCCTGCAATGAAGGGGATAAAAGACACAGGGTTGATGTGTCCGATTTCTAATTTCACTCATTGAGCAAAACTGCTCATTGTGGTACTGGGTACTGGGTACTGGGAGCGCAACAAATGAACAGGAAAGGAAGATGAACCAGGGAGGCCTGCAGAGGGCGCCCTTGGTCCACCTCTTTGTAATTTCAGCGTCACATTCTTTGCTTTCTCTAGTCCTAGTCTCTGTTCCAATAATTGCTCATATGACAAAACAGTGGATTTTTTTTTCAAACTATAAGGGAAAGTTTAATTAGGAATTCATAGAGGTAAAGAAGTGAGTGTTAGAAGAAATGGGCTCAGAAAACAAGTTCAGAGGCAAAAAAAAAGGGGGGGGGGTGACCCTTGTAGCTTAGGAGAGAGAAGGGTAAAGGAAATATGCCTGGGAGGAAGAAGAGGAGGAGAGGGAAGATGTGGGTGTGCTCCCAGGAGGGGAGAGCGCCTAGCCTTCAGAATGGAGTTAAAGAACATTGTCTTCATTAGGCTTAGGAGAGGCAGAAGATGGGGGTGGGTCTCTGACAGCAAATCCACTCAGCTTTAACAAGGGCTTTGTGTTGAAGTTAATGTGAAGTAAAGGTGTTGGTGGACAATAAACTGGAGGTGAAATCAAGAGCAACTAAATACTTAGTTGATTACACTACATCTGGTTTTCATCATAAATCACTTCCCAGTGCCCAAGCTGTGCATGAGACTAAGGCAGTGATGGCGAACCTTTTGAGCTCGGCGTGTCAGCATTTTGAAAAACCCTAACTTAACTCTGGTGCCGTGTCACATATAGAAATTTTTTAATATTTGCAACCATAGTAAAACAAAGACTTATATTTTTGATATTTATTTTATATATTTAAATGCCATTTAACAAAGAAAAATCAACCAAAAAAATGAGTTCGCCTGTCACCTCTGACACGCGTGTCATAGGTTCCCCATCACTGGACTAAGGTCTATCCCAATGAGTCTGGCCCCTCCCAAGAGGTCCTGTTGGGAGGCCACGCACTGATTTTTCTAGGACTATTGCTCTTGCTCACAACCTATTTGGAACTCCATTTTGGAGTGGCCTTCAGAGCCCATGGCATAGTTTTTGGTTGTCCTCACTGGTAGGTAGTATGTCATACTTTAGGATCCTGGAATCATGGGAAGCTACTTGGTTGCAAGTCTAGTGTGCATAAGTTTCCTGAACAGCTGGTAAATACCCTTTGGTTATGACAGGAGGAGCTATACAGCAGTGAAACTGACTTTCTGTTAAAACAGCACTGCTCTGGCTCAGTGGTTGAGCATCGACCCATGAACCAAGAGGTCCCTAGTTCAATTTCAGAACAGGGCACATGCCCAGATTGCAGCCCGATCCTCAGTTGGGGGCATGCAGTAGGTAGCCGATTGATGTTTTTCATCGATGTTTCTGTCTCTCTCTCAAAAAAAAAAATTAATAAAAACATTCAAAACAGCCAAAACCGGTTTGGCTGAGTGGATAGAGCGTCAGCTTGCGGACTGAAAGGTCCCAGGTTCGATTCCGGTCAGGGGCATGTGCCTGGGTTGCGGGCACATCCCCAGTAGGAGATGTGCAGGAGGCAGCTGATGGATGTTTCTCTCTCATCGATGTTTCTAACTCTCTCTCTCCCTTCCTCTCTGTAAAAAATCAATAAAATATATTTAAAAAAAAAACACAAAAAACATTCAAAACAAAACAGCACAGGCATGGGTCACCCACTTCTCTCTACAGCCTTAGTCTACAAGTGATTCTTTTTTTAAAAATACATGTTTTTATTAATTTTAGAGAGGGAGGGAGGGAGGGAGAGAGAGAAAGAAACATCGATCTGTTGCTCTCATACGCACCCCAACTGGGGACCAAACCCACAACCTGGGCAAGTGCCCTGACCTGGAATTGAACCAGCGACCTTTCCATGCTCGGAATGACGCTGAACCAACTGAGCCACACTGACCAGGGCCATGAGTGATTCTTAATCTTTTATGGTTTGTAGACCTTTTGAGAATATGATGAAAGCCATAGACTCTCCCTGCAAAAAAACAAACTGTATACTAGTATATATATGTATTGGCCTGTAATTTGGGGCTTCTGTCACCTCCCTGGAGCCCATCTTTGACTCCGTTTGTCCCAGCCTTCTACCTAAGGTCAACATAATGATAATGTTTAAAGAACTTCAAGTAGCAAGCCAGAAACAAACTATATAGTTACATAAACATCCTGAATGTGAGTGTGATTTAAGACTGTAGCAAGTTAATCTATCATTGGAGTGGAAATTGATGAGAAGGTAAGGAATCACAGACAATGTAAGTTCTAAAAGGGTTACACTGAAAAATATCTACTTTCAGGGAAGGGGGTTCGGGGACTGGGTGAAAGAAGTGAAAGGATTAAGAAATACAAATTGGTAATTATAAAATAGTCATGAGGATATAAAGTACAGCATACAGAGTGTCGTTAATGACATTGTGATAACTATATATGATGCCAGGTGGATGCTGGAATCTTGGGAAGAACACCTTGTAAAGTACTAGTATATGATTGTCTAACCACTATGCTGTACTCCTGAAACTAATACAAAATAGTATTGAAAATAAGCTGTAATTGAAAAATAAAAATAATGCACACGTGCACACACACAAATACCTACTTTCACCTTGTGGGGAGAAGATAGATTTTAAGTGAAAGAAAACTTGGGGGAGAGGGCATTTCAAAGAGAAGGAGGTGGGCACTTGATGGAAAGAATCTGAAAGGACCTAGGACCACGATGGACTTTTAGGATGCAGGGCTCCACCTGAGTCCTACTCCTTACTACCTCTTCCATGCCGATTTCAGATCTTGAAAATACTCACAGGGAAGATAGTGGTGGGACATGCCATCCACAATGACTTCAAAGCCCTTCAGTACTTTCACCCCAAGTCTCTTACCCGTGACACGTCCCATATCCCTCTTCTCAACCGGAAGGCTGACTGCCCAGAGAACGTTACCATGTCTCTGAAGCACCTCACAAAGAAGCTGCTGAACCGGGACATCCAGGTAACCTCTCCCCAAATGCCGCCAGCCCCTTGGTTGGACACTGGGGGGTCCTTTCTTACGGCCTCTCCAGGCTCTGGGCCCAGAATTCCTTTGTAGATAAATCCAGGCAGGCTGCTCTTAAAGCAGTGGTTCCCAAACTTATTTGGCCTACCGCCCCCTTTCCAGAAAAAATATTACTCAGCGCCCCCTGGAAATTAATTTTTTTTAAATTTTAATAGCAATTAAACAGAAAGATATATGTATTAATGTTTCTACCTTTTTCGTAAAATATAGTAAAGAAAGGTGTAAATTAGAAACATTGAAGTTTGAAATTATGAAACTATTTATTAACTCAGAATAGAAAGGTAATACAAAAAAAGTTAAAACAAATGCACCTGTGGCCATCACCGCCCCCCTGGATCGCTGCAGCGCCCACCAGGGGGCAGTAGCACCCACTTTGGGAATCACTGTCTTAAAGGAAGAGCTTTGGGCTAAGAGGCCCATTGATCTCTATGTGTACATAAGGATAATTCCTGTTCGCTACCAGTGTTCCAAATTGTACTTGGGAAAGGAAAAAAAAGTCTTAAGTGGGTGTAAAACCCTAAGAAACTAGAAAACCAGGTGGTGATGGTCTTTTGACCTCAGAGTGGATGGAAGGACCTCTCATGTATTTCACATATTTGGCATTCAAGAAGGGGGTGACCTGCCTGGTAGAGGGTGTAGACATGCCATAAAGAGTTAAGGAACTGGGGAAAATGGAAGACTTAGAAGGCCTGGCTATGATCTAGATGTCTTGTCTCTACAGAATAGAAGAATATGGCATTCACATGTTGCCACAGAAAGGATTGAGGCGGATAAGAGCAGACTTCCTAGGAGTTGAACCCTTGAAATTAAATAAGGAGTAGGGCCCTACCATAGTTCTACCTTTGCAGCCTACTAACTGCAGAAACAACTGCTTATATAAGGGGTTAGGGGGAACCGGTAGGGAAGGGGGGAAAACAACACTTTTTAAAAAACCTTTATTGTTGAAAGTATTACATATGGCCCTTTTCCCCCCATTGCCCTCTCCAACCTCCCCCCCGCCCCCCAAGCCTTCACCACCCCATTGTCTGGTCTATGGGTTATGCAGATAAAACAACACTTTCTTATAGCCCAATGCTTTTCTCTTCCTCCCTCGTTCAGGCTGGAAAAAGTGGACATTCCTCTGTGGAAGACGCTCAGGCCACCATGGAGCTGTACAAGTTGGTTGAAGTTGAGTGGGAACAGTACCTGGCCCAGAATTCCCCTAAAGATTAGCAGCAGTGGGGACACAGGGCAGCGAACCAATGGATGGCTCTACCTGCTCCGCACCTTTGGAAGCTAGAGTTATTGGGGAGGGTGAGACGCTCTACCCCAGACTTAATATCCACTGAAATCTCACCTCAGGTGTTGTGTTCTGTGTCTGGTTAAGTATCCCATGGAAGGAGGAAGTTTCCGTGCCAGCACCCAGCCCTATACTGTTTACCTCTTAAATGGTGCTAACCACAGGCCCCAGAGTGCTTTGTTCTAGTCAAGCTTTTTTACTTTCAAGGGCAGGGCATATTGGGAAATGTAGTCTCCCAAACTGCCTTATCCAAGGGTGGCCATTGTATGCCTTCTGTTCTCAAGTGGTGAACAGCACCCCTTTTCACTCTCAGAAGTATCCTGGTTGGATGATAAATTGTGTGATCACATATCAGAGTCTACATCTAGTTTGTGTCAGGATATCGCCTATTTATCCCGCCCTGACTTCCAGAGAAGCCATCCCTGGTGAGGTGTGGTCCATGGGATTACAGGGCAGTCGAGGTAAGAGTGTGACTTGGAAGTCAACTTTTATGATTTAGGAAAGCTGTCTCTTTCCTAAAGCATGAGAGGATTTATTTAACTGAGATCCCACTTGGTAGGTTAAAAGATTTAAAATGTTTAAATGGTTTTAGTCTTTTTTCCCCCTGTCAAGGGTAAAAATTTTATTTTTAAATATATTTTTTATTGTTGATTGTATTACAGATGTCTCCCATTTCTCCCCTTACCCCTGTCCTCCCAGCAGTTTTTAGGCTTTTACTTTGCTAAACCAAGCCTCTCAAAACTCAAATTGTTCCCTTGATAAATTTTTTTCTTGATAAATTTTAATAATGGAAAAACAATTATGTGGTGTTTTGTGTTTTGTTTTTTTAGAGAGGAGGGGAGAGAGAGAAAAACATCAAAGTGAGAGAGAAACATCAATCAGTTGCCTTTCATATGCACCCTGACCAAAGATTGAACCCACAACCTGGAACTGTGCCCTGACTGGGAATCGAACCCGCCATCTTTTGGTGTAGGGGACAACGTTCCAACCCACTGAGCAACCCAGCCAGGGTGTGTGGTATTTTCTTATTAACTTTACATTAAACTTTTGTCACGGGTCCTGTAGGGCTATAATTCTGTAAGGGGGTTCCAGAGTCTCTGGATGACACTAACTAGGCCCTTGTTTGCTGGAAATCATGGGGAAGCACTGACCAAGCCTTTTGTGTAGCCCGTGTGCTCTGGCGCCTTGTCCTCATCCTTACCACATACCAAGGACCACACCTCAAATCACACCCCAAGACATTAGGATGCCTGTATATGGAGTGCATGTGACCAGGAAAGTGACTTGGAGAATGGGCACATGGGAGTGATGGAGCAAGAGAGGAAGGGTGCTTGGTGCTGCCAGCCTGGTTGCTCCTGCTAGCTCTTCCTTGGTGGTTGCACACCCTCATTTTGGGAATGTGAGTCACAGGTCTAACCTTGTGTCTGGGATCACTGTCTTGAGGAAATGCAGACTCCATATATACAGCAGGACTTGTGCCCTCCTGAGTGGCTGGTTTGGCTCCAGGGGCCAGAGTCACGGTCATGGCTGCTTGTAGCAAGGAATTTTCTGCAGCCGCACCAGACTCAACATGGTCTTGTCACGCCCTGTGCTGCAGGATCTGCTTGCACAGGCAGCTGTTGAGTTCTGAGCAAGTTGGTTCCTGCTGAGCCCAACATGAAATGTCCATGACACCTTATAAAGAGGTGCCAAGTGTCCTATACACTAGGAAAGCCACACCCCAAACTGGGTATACACATCAAAGCACATTACACTGTGCTTACATATACATTATATTGTGATCAGTAAACTAGAAAATTCTCGTTTGAGTTCAGCTTTTAGAGTACCTGTTGGCTGAAACAAACCTGGCTTTGTGTGTATCTTGGTAAAGTAGCACCTGGCTGTCATGCTTCATCCCCTCACCCCATGTTCTGAAGGGTCCCTGGTCTCAGTCTAACATTGGAAAGAACTCAGTCTTACTTTGCTCGCCAGGAAGAACCTGGGGGACTAAAGAACCTTGTAACCATTTCCTCGCTTTTCTCTCACTTTCTGGTCAGAGCCCAGCTTCCCCTGCAGAGTGCCCGGGGATGTCCTGTCATTCGGTCCTTCCTTCTCCACCCCTCTGTCCCCAGGATCCCAGGCTTCCACTGATAATAGAAGAGCCCCATTGCAGATTGCTGCCTGAGTCTCTGTCAACAAGTCCTGTTTGGCAGAGGGGACCACATGCATGATAAAACACAAGCTCTTCTGATACTCTCTTCATGGCATAATGATGTTTCTAATGCTAAGAGGTCCCCCACTGCAGGTGAGCCTGGGAAAGGGCAAAGATTGAGAACTGTATATGCCGAACATAATAGTCTAAAACTCCACGTAACCAAGTGGTTCTCAAAAGAGGAAGGGGGCCTGGCCGGGTAGCTCAATGAGAGCACTGTCCTGATACACCAAGGTTGCAGGTTCCGGGTCAGGGCACAAACAGGAACCAACCAATGAATGCATGGGTAGGGGGAATGGCAGGTCCAAGTTTCTCCCTCTCTCTCTAAAATCAATGTTTTAAAAAAATTCAGATGATAGCACTGTCCCTTTCTCCACTTTAAAGAACCAGGGATCTAGTGAAGGCTCCAAGGAGGAATCATTTAATTCCTAGTTTAACAGATGATTACAGCCGACAATAGGAAAGATCAACAGTGCTGTAATTATGAACTTGCCCCAAGGCATGTTAGCCCAAGTCCAAGTTTAGAGATGAATATCCATGTATGCAATATGCCAGGCACATCTATGAATACCCTAAATCTACAGTCTGTGTCTTATTCACAAAGCACCTTCACTTACCTGTACTATAGAGTAAGTCCACCAAACAGCTGTGTCTTCATAAAAACGTACAAACCTGTAGAGATATGAGTTATTTGAGCCAAATGGACGACAAATTCCAGGAAGCAAAATCTCAATAAATTGAGAAAATGCTCCTAAGAATGGCAGTTTTACAGCTTATTTTATACATTAGAATCAAAGGAGGAGACATAAGGGGTGGGGGTACATGAAATTGATTGGTAGATTAGGGAGACAGGAGAAAGCAAAGGGGAGGGGATCTCTGAGATTGTATAAAAAGTAAAACAGACTTTTACATTGGTGGGTATAAGATAGTTGACATTTACAGCACATGGAGATGGTACGTAGGGGAACAAGATAACAATGAGGGATTCTGTGGGATGCTTCGGTGAGGTGGGTATCCCTGAGATCTGGAAAAGGGGATTGACATTCCAAGGGTATGTTATCTTAGATGCAAAAAGACAATAGACAGGCTCATTTAAGACTGACCTTGTTGCCTTGACTGGTGTGGCTCGGTTGGTTGGGTGTTGACCCATGTACCATAGTTCAATTCCAGGTCAGGGCACATGTCGAGCTTTTGCTGGCTCCATCCCCAGTAAAGGCATGCAAGAGGCAGCCAATTGATATTTCACTCTCACATTGATGTTTCTCTCAATCTCACTCTAGAAATTTTAAAAAATAATAAAAAGATTGACCTTTGTCAAGGAAGCTATAGTCCTAGGATGTGACTACCGCCATGACTAGTTTTTGGTTAGGAATTTTTATGTTCAGACTATCCTGTGTGGTTACTTTTGGTCTCTAAGTTTATAAGGCCCACCTTGCAGGTCTCCCCTGATTTAGTATATGGTCCCTTTTTCATCCACAGCTGTATAGAGTAACAGCAAGTTACCTGTTTGACATTGGGTTTTAAGTTTGATTTTACCCCTTGCTAAATTTGTGACATTGTCACTTTGCCTCTTGGAGCCTAATGATTCTAGCTTCAAAATCCTGGAGATAGACTCTCTATATATATATATTTCAGAGAGGAAGGGAAGAGGAGAGGGAGAGAGAAACATCAATGATGAGAGAGAATCATTGATCTTCTGCCTCCTGCATGCCCCCCACTGAGGATCAAGCCAGCAACCCTGGCATGTGCCCTTGACCGGAATTGAACCCAGGACTCTTCAGTCCACAGGCCAATGCTCTGTCCACTGAGCCAAACCAGCTAGGGCCTGGATTCTTTTCTAACCCTTTATGTTTAACTGATGATTGGCAACTCTTTATTGAGTGCTTCTCTGTGCCAGGCACAGTGTTAACCCCTTTAGGTTCATTTTCCCATTCTCTGTAAGGGAGGGGGTGGTATTCTAATCTAACAGCTGAGTAAACCAAGGATGACAAAAGGTAAGAAATCTTCCCCAGGCCAAATAGCTGAAGGTTGGTGGTGCTGGCACTCAGACCTGTCAGGTTTGCCAGTCTGAAGCCTCTGCTATTAGCCACGCCCTACTCTGCTATTAACACATCCAGGTGGCATCTGGTGAGACTTGGAATCCTTCCACTCAAATTTTTATGAAGCACCTGCTATGTGCCAGGCATTTTGCTAGGCATTAAGGGAAGTAGCCTTGTCTTTGCCCCCAAGTTGCGTACAGCAACATGAGGAGAAACCAGTGTACTAATTCCAGTGCACAGTGGCAGGTCCTGTCCACATTCACTGAGAGATTTGAAGCAGGGGAGTGATATGATCAAATTTGAGTATTAGGAAGATGACGCTGGCAGCAGCCAAATGGAAATTGGATTGAAGAAGGGCCAGGAGATGAGTCCTTGTTTGAGTAATTTGGATGAGCAGTGATGGAAGCCTGAATCAATGAAGTGGGAAGATGCATATGAGCATCACTGAGGAGGTAGAATCAACAGGACTCAGAGATCAGGGCAAGAGGACTAAAGGTAGACTTGATATTTGTGAATTACAGTGAACAGGCAAGCATGGTGCCATTGACCACAGTAGAGAACATGGCAGGCAGAAGAGCAGGTTTTTGAAGAAGATGAATTGGGTATTGATTGGGATGACTTTAAGCTGCCTAAAGATAGCCAAAGGGAGATATCAGCCAGCAGCTGATACCAGACTGGAACTCAGCAGAGGTAGTAAGTGGCCTAATTGGGGGCAGATTAGCTTTACATATGCAGATGACCTTGGGTCTGGTTGATCCTGAGCAAATGTTTAAATCTGAGTCGATATCTTTGGTCTTTCAACTCCCAACCAAGTTCCTGTACACACTGGCTTCGCAAAGAGTGCTCAGGGAGTGCATGTGTGCCTCACAAGTGGGGACCCACATGTGCTTGGGGGTGGAGATTTGCTGGGTTGCATGATCTTTAGTTATCAAGGCGGTGACTGAATAGATAAGTGACATGTAGTGGCACTGCAGAGGGGAGGGGTCCTGGTAAGCCAGGTCTCACTCCCCAGCCCTCCTGTGCACCAGTCCCTGGCCTTTGTGAATTCCTACATAGACCTTTGTTCTGGTGTCTTCTCTGCCCTCCCATCACTTAACTGTGCTGACTGACTTGTCTTGTTTCTTTCTTTAATATGTACGGCTTCTGGCCTTATTTAGGGACATCATCAACTATGCTTTCTTTGAAAGAATATATATAACACATAGGATATTGAGAAGCAGGGTGGGGGGAGAGAGAAGGTGTTTTTAAGAATTTGGCATAGCCGAAACCGGTTTGGCTCAGTGGATAGAGCGTCGGCCTGTGGACTGAAGGGTCCCGGGTTCGATTCCAGTCAAGGGCATGTACCTTGGTTGCGGGCACATCCCCAGTGGGAGATGTGCAGGAGGCAGCTGATCGATGTTTCTCTCCCATCGATGTTTCTAACTCTCTATCTCTCTCCCTTCCTCTCTGTAAAAAAATCAATAAAATATATTTTAAAAAAAAAGAATTTGGTATGGAAAAGCAAGCATACCTTAATTCTCTGCCAGGCTCAACCAGATTCCATTCTGAAATGTTTAGGAGAAAGCTTTAGAATCAGGCAGATTCTAAGGAAACACAAGGAAAGCTCTTGCACAGTGTGGGCTCAGTCACGCCTCTCCTCTCCCAGGCCTGGGGATTGAGGGTTGGGCCCTGCGCCTGTGACCTGACCCCTCAGTCTCAGTGCACAGCAGCGCCAGGAACCCGACTTGTCTGGCATCCCTCAGCCAGAGGCAACTTCCCCAAAGGCCAGGCCCTTCATTTCCTACCACCCCGTGGAATCCTGTTTGGTGGCCTCTTTGGAAAGATTCCATGAGAGGGATCCAAACCATAACCCAAGGAGGAAGAAGGAGAGTCCCTTGTTCTGGGAGCTGGGGCCCACACCCAGGACCCACAGGGAGGCAGAGGCAGATAATCCAGCCTGGCCGCTTGAGACCTGAGGCTGTGCTGACAGAGTGGTGAGATCTGGGAAGCTTTCCTGAAGGAGAGGAGGTGGAGCTGGGGTGGGAGCAAAGGGGCCCGGGCTGGGGAAAGGGTAGAGTATTCTGGAGGCTTCCTCAGAGGCTAGAGCCACCCCCCACACACAACCCACCTCTGCCCACTCTCCACTCCAAGGCAGGGACTGACTCCTCCCAGCTTTGGAATCAACTCCCTGAGTCTCCTGGAAGCTGGCACCAAGGGGTCAGGGAGCGTATCGGAGGAGACTGGCCCACAGAGACCATATGCCCACAGGCCGTGAGAAGGGCCCATCCCAGAGAGGATGATGCCCTCTCTCGGTTGTGAGCTCAGTGGGAAGACTGACTAACCAAAAACCCAGATCATCTGGAAACCTGTGGCTGACAGTCCCAGAGCTTTGGGACTTAGGAGGTGTGAAACCGTGGCCAGGAGGTTGGCAACTGTGAAATCCAGGAGCTGCTCTCTCCTTTGATCCCCAGGGACATGTCCCTACGGATTCCCAAGTGCCAAAGCTCCCACTTGGATGTGTTCCCCAGGTTGGTAGAGGAGACAGGCCGGGGAGGCTGGGAGCTTCTCAGGGCAGTGCGCCTGCTCAGCCTGGCTAACTGATGTTCACAGCTGCTAGCCCAGTGCCCTTGGGAATCCAGGCCGGCTGAGAGGCCCTGGTGGCTGGGATGGGGTAGGGGGTACCGGGCAGTGGGAGGCGGAGACTGTTCAGTCTCTCTTTGACAGCTAACATTTTCCAGAGCTGGCGCCCGCAGGGGAAAGGAAATCGGAGCTTCCCACCTCACACATCTTTTTCCCATTTTGTTCAGGCTGCCCAGGGAAAGCCATTAGGGCTAGGTCAGGCTGGGGCCTCCCCGCCACCCATCTCCAGTCTATTATAAGGAGGGGCTGCGGGGGGAGGGTCACTGGAAGGACAAGCCCTAGCCTGCCTAAGGGGCCAGACTCTGAACTCATGCCCCTTCTTAATTCCCTGCCCGCTCATGATGGAAGGGTGGGGGCAGGGACCAGGAAACTGGGCTCCTGGCACCTCCCTTGCTCTTCTTAAATCCCCCTGCACCTCTGATTCTGTCTCTAAGGAGTCTGGCCCTCTGGCCCCAAGGGCCAGGGCCTGGTCAGCAGCAAGAAGGGCCCTGGGGTTGGGGAAGCTGGTCCTTATTACTTCACTCCTAGGGCTCCCGCCGCCTCCTGGAGCTGCTAGCACAGCTGGTTTCCATAGGCCCCTAGGAGCCGGGCTGGGAGCAACTATTGTGTCTGGAAACAATAGCTACATTTGGGGGCTGGAGAGAGGAGGGAAATAAAAGCACTCAAGTGCCTTGCAGAGGAGTTCTCCCCCAGCTGCCTGACCTTCCTAAGGCTGAGCTGACCTCTCAGCCCCTCTTACCTGGAACCCTCCCCGCACCAGCAGTGCGTCAGTCCATTACCCTCTTTTTATCCCTATCCAGAACCTCCAAGCCCAGACCTGGGACCCCCTCAGTGTCTTCTCTGGGACTTGCCTTTCCTCCTTCCCTCCTGCCTCTTTCCTCTTCAATCCTGGAGTCTGGTTATCTGGCCCGGTGCCCACCTTCTGCAGTTCAGGCTAAAGGAGGCACATAGCACACACCCAGTCTGCAGCCCTGCTGATTCATCGAGAAACTCCCTCCAGTTCATCTCAATGAGGAGAGGGGTTCCTGGACTCCCCACTCTCCTTCCATTCCCCAATCTCAGAAAGTGGGAGAGGTGGCACTGGGCGAAGGCTTGGGCTCCCTAGGCCCAGCACCTTGGGCAACAGTGGCAGGCTTCGAGGCTAGACCGCAGGTGTCCAGCCGCCAAACTTGTCACAGCTACAGCCTTCTCCCTGGTGCCCTGGACTGCCAGGGGTTAAAGGGCCAGTGCAGGGCAGGAGGTGGGATCAGCAGAGGAGTCTGGCCCAGTCACTGGATCACAAAAGACAAGAGTTTAACTGCAGGTCATGTTGCTGATTGACTTCTCCATCCAGCAGTGCTGCCCTCGAGGAGAGAAGGAGCCACAGCTGGCCAGGGTCAGGCCCAGGTCTGATCCGCTCTAGATGTGGACTTCCCCCAGCAGTCCCAGCCACACTAGATCCCCATCTCTCCCTGGAGATTCTCTGAGAAGCAGGGAGGCCAGGAGAAAGGGGGGGTCAAACTGGTGCCGTTCACTGTACAGTGGGGCCTTGACTTACGAGTGTCCCGACTAACGAGTTTTTCGAGATACGAGCCGTCTCTCGGCCGATTTTTTGCTTTGAGTTGCGAGCTAAAATTCGGGTTACAAGCCAGCTTCAGATACCCCACCGCTAGTTGGTGCAGTGAACGTCACAGTGAACGCCACAGCAGCCCAGCATCACATGTCTCACTCGTTCACTGTTGATTTGACATACGAGTAATTTGAGTTACGAGCTCCGTCATGGAACGAATTAAACTCGTAAGTCAAGGCCCCACTGTAGTAGGAAAGGAAACAGCAGGGGCCTGAGTGGGGAAAAAGATGACCCCCCCCCCCATGCCTGACTGGCAAGAAGCACCAATGTGGGCAGAGGAAAAGAGAAGCAAAGACCCCAGGGTCAGAGAATAAGGTCAGTGCGGCAGCTGCCAGCACCTGTTGGAGGTCCCCAGGCTCTTCAGTGACTACCTGTGTACTGCCCGCGCCCCCCCACCACCCCCTCAAGAGACCTCTTTCAAGGGACAGAGATTCAGTCCAGACACCTCCTCAGTCAGTTCATCCCCTCCTCCTTTTGTCTCCCTTGCTCTTCCGTTGGTTCACCTGACCTGCTCAGCGTGCTGGCCCAGCCCTGAGGAGAGCATTGGCAGCTGGAGCTGGGAACCAGGTAGCAGAGCCAAAAACAACAGAGGAGCCGCCTGGCTGCCTCGCCTAGATGCTGCGCAGCCCATTCCTGGTCTAACTGTAACACCTCCTATTGCAGCTTCTCCCCCCTGTGGTTCTGACCCTACCGGGCCACACCTCCTCCCTTTGCCAAGGCCTGGAGCTGGCCCTAAAGGTCAGCCCGGTGTTCTTTGAGTCCAGCTGCTCATACCTTCCCTAGTGCTCAGGGTCTCTCCCCAGCACCCAAAGGTTTCTGGGAAATGGGTCGCCTATTTTCTGGATCTCTGGCTCCATCTCCCAGCTTGCGCGGCAGCTTGCTGGAAGTTCTTTTTGGCTCCATCCATCCTGCTCAATGGCAATTTTATTTGGGAGAATCAGAGCCTTATCAGATTTGAAAAGGGCTGGGTCCCTGAATCCAGGGAGACAGGAATGGAACATTCCCATGGGTATGGAGGATCAGACCAGACCAGGAGGCAGGATGCTCAAGTCCACACTGTGCTAAGTGAAATGCTGAGGGTTAGGGAGACCAGGAGACACAACTGTTCTGGCCCAGCCATTCCCAACTGTTAGTCTGATTGAATAATCGAATCAACACCCCTCCCCTGGGAACTGACCTTTAGGCCACTTCACAATGGACATTCCCTTTCACTGAGACCACATTCCACTTGCTAAGACCATTATCCTTCCCCTCTGGACCTTCCTAGGATCCGGACCGCCCAGAGAATTCTCCGCCCAGAAAAAGCCCGCCTAGTGTCCTTTAAAACCTCTGACTCCCTGTCCCTGGGTGCTGGCGCCATTTGGGGGCTCAGCCCATCTGGTATCCAGATGACCTAATAAATTTCTAATTTCTTACCACTCTGGCTGCATGAGTTCTTCCTTCGGCAACCCTAACACCAACTCCTTTTTTCCACTCTCAGACCTTCCATCCTCTGTTCAAGTCCTGCCTTCTTTGCTGCCCCTACAAGGCGTCCCCGAGACTCAAGGCCCACCCCCACCTGGGTTTCATTTCCACATGACTCCCAGCCAACAAACTCTCTGACCCAACAGATGCAATAACACGGCTCAGGGTGAGGCCCTTCCACAAGTGCTGAATTTGGCCAGAGCTTCTCTTTGGCCCCAGTTGGGGGTGAGGGTGAAGGGTACATGACTCTCCCACTCTTCCCATTCCTCCCCCCACCCAGCCTCAAGGGAGTGATAGAGAGGGGTGGGGTGTCTCCTTTTCCCAAGGCCCAGACCCCTTAATCGAGCACACAATATAGCCACTGTCCCTCACACTTCCCCAGCCATGCAGATGCCTGCTCATCTCCATTCCTTCTGTTGCAAAACCAGCCACTTTCCTCTTCGCCACACTGCAGTGCAACAGTCCTAGAATGTTCCTTCCCTAATTCTCTCTCTCTCCTGTTTCCTCCTCACCCCGCCCATCCTGCCGCTGCTCCCCCAGCTTTTCTCACCAACTTTGCACCCTCCCCAACTTGAGTCTTCAAATTCCTGGGAGAGCCCCCAGAGGGGTATGGCACAGGCTCCTAGAAAGGGGGAGCGGGTTGCCCCCACCAGATCTGGTCGTAATTAAAAGACCAGCGACATTGAGAAATTCCTTATTGATCCCGGCAGGAAATTAGAGCCAGTTGTTTGGGACTGAGCGACTGATGCTGACTAAGCTCCCCCCCATTGCTAGGTTCCCCGGCCCCTCTCGTAGGCTCCCCCACTCTCCCATTCTCCTTCCGTTAGCCCCCTTCCCCCTTACCACCCCACCCCAGCCGTCTCATCCCATTCCCTTTCCTTGACTCCCTTCCCCAGCATCTTCCTTAAGCTCCGCACCCACCCGCCCTCACCCCTGCACTTTACAACGGGTTAACGGGGCTGCTGGAGGCTGAGACCTCCAGCCTCGCTTGCTCAGCACCCTCCTCCAGACCCCCGGACCACCTCCCTCAGCCAAGGTTGGGGTGCAGGGGCTGGAGCTCAGGCCCAGAGCTGCCAAACCACAAACACATCTGGAAAAAATTCCCTTCCCAGCCTGACTTCCCTTTGTCTTCTGTCTTTTTGGAAATTCTGGCCGGCTAGTCAGTGGGGGGAATGAGGAAGTAAAGGGAGGGGAGTGGGCCCAGGCCTCCCTGCCCCCACCCCAGGGAGCTCCCGTCCAGCCTCCCCAGTGTCCTCGGCCAGACCATGTCCCCCCTGCATGCTATTGTAGGTCTAGGCGCCCTCGTCCTGGGGATCATCTTCTGGGCGAGGTTTTAACATCCTCAGTAACCAGGCTGGTGGGGGCGTGGGCCCGCCGGGGCCCTTCTCTTTGCAGCAGGCTGGCTATGGAGCAGGGGACGGGACTGTTCTGGCTGGGGGCTCAGGAGGGCTGGAGAGGAGTGGAGATGGACATAGTGATTTGGGTGGAAGAGGTAGGGGGCAGTGAGGGGGAGGGGGGCGGTGGGAGTCTGGTTTCAGCCATGTTCCCTCCCTTTGGCTGGGAGCCCGATTTCACTGTCAGAACCTAATCCCTCTCCCTTTACCTACAGCACTGCTGGAGCCGCGGTGGGGGAGGAGCACAGGCAGAGCCTGCAACTCCGGGGCGAACATCCCCCAGGGACACCCCCTCCTTGCTACCACCTCTGCTTTTGTCTGTCCTTCCTCAGAGATCTCTACCTGCTGCCCTCTGCCTTCCAGAAGCCCAGCCCCCCCACCCCAAGATAAGCTCCTCCGCATAAAACCGAGACCCCTAAGCCAGCCTGAACCTCCAGCTCCCTTCTTTAAATCTGACAAGTGTATTCGTGACGGCTGCGCGAGGCCCCATCCAAAAGTCCTTTCTACCGTCTACCCTCCATCTCTCTTGCTGCAGAGTCAACTAGATGCCCTGTCCCCTGCACGTCCATTATTCAGAGTCCCCTCCTCAGGGCCCGGAGGCTCCACCCGCAGTGCGTCCTCCAGTCCCGGGTAAATCCTCCAGCCCTTCCTTGTCCTTTGGCTCTAGGCCTCCGGACTCCCCCCAGCGCAGGCCCCCAACCCTGAGCCGGTCCAGGGCTCGGAATCGCAGGGCCTGTCCTCTGCTCCACCCACGGCCACGCTGGCAGGGAGAGACCGGGGCCGGGACCAGATGTGGGGTTTCTCGTCCCGCCTCGGCAGGAGCTGGGAGGGTAGCCCAGGAAGGGCGGCGGGGGTGGGGACGGACGGGCCGCAGGGCCCGGTGCGCGGACTCGCCAAAGGCACCTGAGCGGCAGCGTCCCCCGCGCGGGACAGACGCCGCCCGCCCCGCTCGGTCCCTCGGCCTGGGCAGTCCCGGGTCTCCAGCCAGTCCCCGAGGCTCCCCGCCTGGCCCCCATTTCTGCTCCCCGGGCCCCCGGCCCTCTCCGTCGGGGTCTCTGCGGGAAGCCCTGCCCTGCCCCCTCCTTTGATCTCACACTTCAAAGCCTCTCCCTAAGGGGCGGCCGCTCCTTCCGCCCGTTTTACGGCTGAGAATGGTGACACCTGAGACCCTGCTCCGCCTCCTCCCGGGGGCACCCAGCCTCCTTCCAACCTCGGGGCTCCGCGTCGGTCCCGCCTCCCCCCGCGCCCGCCGCGATCCCCTCGGGGGTCTGCCGAGCCGAGCGGCGGGGAAAGCGCCTCCATAAAGAGATCGTGTGGAGTGATTGGCTGTGACCTCTGCCCTCCCCAGCCTCGCGCCGGGGGCCCCTGCTTAACCCTTTGGTGCGCGCCCTGCGCTTGGAGAGGGACGAGTCTCCCTGCGCCAACTTCCAACGTCCCCAGGGGCAGCGGGGCCCGAAACCCGGCGGGGAGTCGGAGGGGGTGCTGCCCCCTTCCCGCCCCTTCGAATCGTCCCAGCAGGGGGCGTCGTTGCCCCATTTAAGAGCCCGCCCAGACCCCCGGGGCCCCGAGCGGTTCTCCGAGTTCCGAATCGCGGGGGTCAATTCAGGCTTCGCTGGAGCCGAGCTAGGGCGCGCTTCCCTTCTTCAGCTCCCGCTCGCGAGCAGGGCTGGCCCCGACACCAAGGAGTTGGGGAGACGTGGGGGAACCCGAACGACATGACCCTGGGGTTCGGACGGCAAGACCTGAGCCCTAAGCATCTGCGCCCGGGGCCCGGCGCCCCACGCCCCTCTGGGCTGAGAGGCCAATCCCAGTCCTCGCTCTCCGTTCGCTTCCCCGTCCAACCGCGGGCGCGGGGCGCGCGCTCTCGGTCCCCAGCACACCCTGGTCCCGCCCACGGGGCTAGATCGGGAGGCAGGGGGCTCGGGAGTGGGGGCTGTGCGGCTGGGCCGGGGCTCAGGGCCCCCCAGGTGGGGTGGGAGGCGGGGCGGGAGGAGGGGCCACCTCGTTTTTTTTGGGCAGGGGCGGGCCCGCACCGGGTATAAAAACTGCCCGCGCGGGAGTCCCGGCCAGCTTCGGGGTTGTCCTGGGACGTGTCCTGCTTCCCGAGTCTCACGCTCTGGCGAAGGCGGCGGCCACATATCGTTTGACTAAGGGACTCGCCGTCCAGTGCTCCAGCCGAAGACCCTAAGGGCCCGCCACCAGCGCCGCCACCATGCCCAACTTCTCTGGCAACTGGAAGATCGTCCGATCGGAAAACTTCGAGGATTTGCTCAAAGTGCTGGGTAAGGAGATTTGCAAGGGCCCCGGAGAGGGGGTATTCGGAGGTGGGTAAGAGTAAGAAAGGAAAGGGGGTAGAATCAGGGCTTAGGGGTCCCGGGGTGCTGGGCCGGGCCACCTAAATCCTGCTTTCTCTGGCGGGGCGCCCACCGATGCCAGCTCCTGCAGTGACTCAGCCTGTGAATCAAGTAGAAACCAGAAGCACGAGGTCCGTCTCCCTTTGGGTGGGGAAGAGGGGCTCTCTTCAGTTCAGGAGCTGCAAACCCTGCATCCAGGCAGGGAGCCTGGGGCCCTACCCCCCACCCCGAGACCTTCTGGCCTCCTTCCCTTGTCCCCGCTGGTAACCCAGCACAGGCAAGTTCCTTCCCCATGTGCCGCTCTCCACCCGCCAGGGGATGGCCACCCCAGCGCCCCCTTGGCCCTCCTTCCTTCCCCCTTCAGCACTTCCCACTCTGCTCCCTCTTCACCCCCATCTGTGAGACAAGTATTTTCCTACAGCGAGTTCCAGAAACCTAAAATTGCTCTAGATAATTATCACTTTCTTCGATTTCAAGAAATGGCTTTGTGTGGAACTCCCCCCCCACCTTCCTCCAATAGGAGTTCTCTTCTCCCTTCTCCCTGGATACCCACTACAGCCCAGCTGGGTGTGCTGGTTAAAGGCAGGGAAATCTGTCCCCACCCAGATGGCCCTTCCCAACTTTTGTGTGCCCTCTGTCTGGGGAAGGGGTGAAAGCTAGGAAATGGCTGGAGCGGGTGGGGGGCTCTGGGAAGAGATGGAGATTGGTTAAGCAACTGGGGAGCCACCTGGGAGCCCCGGAGCCATCGTTTCAGGACTGAACAGAGAGAACCCAGTTGGGCTGGGTGGGGAGGGGCACCTTGTGTGGGGCCAGGGGCTGTAGGGGTGAATCTGAACCTAGGAAGGGTCTGGAATGCTATCCGAAAAGCGGGGACTTCCAGCATTCCTTGCTGCTGTTCTCCTTGCAGTCTAACCACAGCGCTTCTAGTCACGTCCGTCTTTCTTGTGTTGCCCTCGCTGAAATGAAAGACCAAAAGGATAGGAAATGTCCCTTCAGAAAGCCTCGGTGTCATTCCCTCCCCCAGCTCCGGATTTGGCTCCTCTCCCCAGTGGATGAGGCACCCCCAGGACCCAGCTGGAGAATAAGACCTGAAGCCCAGCCCTGTTGTCTGTCTATCTTCGTCTGTTTGTCCTCCCTGCAGGGTCTCTCAGAGCCACGTGCCCTCCTCAGGTCCTGCTGGGAGACAGATTGCAAACAGACCCATTAACACAGCCCTGAGTCAGCCAAGGTTGGCCGAGGCTGGGCCCGCTCCACAGGCAGCAGAGGCGGGCTGGAGGGGCGTCTCCTCGGAACCCACAGCCTCGCCTCCACCGGAACCTCAGTCACTTCTCACGCTCCTTTGCCCTAGTCCAGGGTCCCTCTCCTGTGAGGGATGCTCAGGTGTTTGGAGGACAACTGTCCCGTGCAGTGTGATGGCCATGGATGGAGGAGGCTCTGCTCCTGTAGCAGGAAAGATGGATGTTAGGGAGCAGATGGACTTCCCAGGCAGCAAAAGAGTGAAGTAGTCTCAGTGCAAGAAGATGGAGTAGGACGTGCCTCCTCTGCCCAGTCAGCTGGACCTGGAACCTCGGTCACTTCTCCCCGGGCCTGAGATCAGCAGTCAGGAACGGGGCTCCTGGGCTCCTGAGGGCCAGGGCTCAACTCCTTCCAACTCCCTCCTTCTGGCCCAGAGTGTGTGCTGTGGTGCCAGGGGGAAAGGATTTGTTTCTCTCGGAACCCAGGTCTAGAGGAGGGACAGGGAGTTTGGGCTGGATCAGGGGTAGGGGAATCCCGCTCACCTGGCCCAGCCCAGCTTGGGCCCCTCATCCCCACCAATTGCTTCTCTGGGGGATTCTGCTCCAGTCAGGGCAGGAGGCCAGGCTGGGCAGTTTACACCCGGGCCCTGGCCAGAGGCGCCTGCCTGCCTGCTTGTCTTCTGTCAGAGGGGTGCTCTCTCCTGGCTCCCCCACCCCTCTTAATAACTGGGGAGCAGAGAGCAGGGGTCCAATCTGGGGAAGGATATGCGGACAGGCACGGGGAATCTGAATGAGAAGCACTTACCAGGGTGACCTGGAGTCGGGGACACATCAGGGGCGGGGAGGGCAGTACCCCCTTCTGTCCCGAGAAGGGAGGAGGGCAGGTGAGCAGGAGTCTGATGCAGAGAATGTCTGAGCCCCAGCTCTGGCTTTTTCTTTGCCTTCCTTCTATCAGTAAAAGGGCCTGCTACCGTAAGACTAACTACTATTTCTTAAAAACTCCAAGGTGTGCCTGGCACTGAGTACTAGGCCCTAAACACACCTACCTCATCCCATTTGCTAGGCTTTGGAAGAAACCATTGTCTCCATTTTACAGTTGAGCAATCTAAGGCTCAGATAAGTTAAGCCATTTGCCTAGGCCCTAGGGCAGTGATGGCGAACCTTTTGAGCTCGGCGTGTCAGCATTTTGAAAAACCCTAACTTAACTCTGGTGCCGTGTCACCTATAAAAATTTTTTGATATTTGCAACCATAGTATAAAAAAGATTTATATTTTTGATATTTATTTTATATATTTAAATGCCATTTAACAAAGAAAAATCAACCCAAAAAATGAGTTCGCGTGTCACCTCTGACACGCGTGTCATAGGCTCGCCATCACTGCCCTAGGTCACCCAGCCTACAAGGGCGGCTGAACCAGGTGGAAATCGAGGAAATGGATCTTACTCCAGAGGCTTTGGCTTCCCCAGCGGCTGGCCACCTCTTCCCTGGCTGAGAATCCCTGCCCCTTCTCATTTGGGGGAGGGACAGAGATTGGGCAAATGAAGGCCCAGCTGGCACCAGACAGGAGAGGTGGGTAGCACAGGGAGGAAGTGGTCCCTAACTCCAGGACAAAGTGGTGAGGCCTGGCCTGGGAGGGTCTGAGGACACAGTGGCTCTAATGAGCCCACCCAGCAGAGGGTCTCAAGTAGGGTAGACAAAGGGCCCAAAGTGAGGTGGACAGAGCCAAGGTGATTCCATAGCAGGATGCCTGCTGGGTGAGGGGAATGGGAAAAAGTGCCCCTGAGCTGGGAATGGGGTGCGGGGTGGCTAATCTAGGACTGCTGACTCACCCAGGTGGGGTGGCTGCTAGGAGCAGGATCCTTTAAGGGCAGGCACTGCCTCTCTGTCCTCCTCCCTAAACCCCACCATTCATTAGGGCTGCACCACCTGCCCTGAACTTCATGAACTTTCTCGGAAACTAGCCAGACTGCTCCAGCTGTCTCTTGGGGAAGGTGTAACACAGGTGCCTGGAGCACCCCAAAAGGTGGGCCTCTCTCTTCTCTGCAGGGGTGAACGTGATGCTGAGGAAGATCGCCGTGGCTGCCGCCTCCAAGCCGGCAGTGGAGATCAAACAGGAGGGAGACACTTTCTACATCAAAACCTCTACCACCGTGCGCACCACGGAGATTAACTTCAAGATTGGAGAAGAGTTCGAGGAGCAGACGGTGGATGGGAGGCCCTGTAAGGTGAGTGCCAGAAAGGGGTCCCCCAGGATCCTGGCTTCTATTGCCCTGCCTCTCAGCATGCCATTTTCTAATCTTTTCCTGGATCCCTTTCTCTTTTTCTAATGGAGGAAGTCCCTCGGTAGTGGTGGTAGGTAGAAAGGGGGCACATCCCCTATCTCTCTTGCTACATTGTCCCTGATGGGGGCGCAGCTCACTTGGCCACCTCTTCCTTGCAGAGCCTGGTGAAATGGGAAAGTGAGAACAAAATGGTCTGTGAGCAGAGGCTTTTGAAGGGAGAGGGTCCCAAGACCTCCTGGACCAGAGAACTGACCAATGATGGGGAGCTGATCCTGGTGAGTCCTGCCTCCTCCCAGCTAAGCGCAAGCCCACTGCTACCTCGGGGGATGTCCTGGGGGGCTCCAGGGTGCAGAGGGTTCGAGGATAGTCATGGTTGGTTTCCCACGTCCTGCTGGGGTGTGAGTAAGCTGTCCCTGTCCACACAGTGCCCTCACGCAAATGAGAAATAGCGCCCCCTCGGAGGGGAACAGTGGACATTCACTGAGAGGTCCCAGCAGTTCTCCAGGGGACCTCCCCTGCTTAGGGATGAGGACATAGGGTAGACCCCTGGGGCTCTGGTGCCATCTTCCCTCCCATGATGCCCAGGCCTTTGGGGACCAGCTTCTGACTGTTGGCCCTGAACCAAGAAGCAGGTTTGAGCCTAGAGACAGAGCAGAGTCCCTCTTCCCAAGCCACAGGACCAGGGGCCTCCCGGGCTAACAGTGACTTCTATCCTCCTTCCAGACCATGACGGCGGATGACGTTGTGTGCACCAGGGTCTACGTCCGAGAGTGAGTGGCTGTGGGTCTGAAGGATGCCCCAGCCCATCCCCAGCCCACGCTCCTGCTTCTCTGCCCTGTGGGCCGTCCCTCCCCCCTTCCTTCTAGGCTAGCTCTCCCCCTCACCCAGGCCACTTCCCCAGGTGCTGGGATGCCTCCTGCAGGGGCTCTGCTTTTTTCGCCCCTCCTCCCCTCCCCTATTCCAACAAAGAGGGGTGGGTTGCAGGAGCCCAGATCACCCACTTTGGAATCACTCCCCTCACCCCCCAAATAGCCAGTCCCAGCCCCAAACCAGCCCAGAACCGTCTCTTTCTGTGAGGGGACCTGAGGGCCTGAGAGGGAAAGACAGCCCTCTGGCTTCTACTTTGTCCCTGTAGCCTATACAGTCTAGAATATTTATTGGTTAATTTTATTAAAATGTTTTAAAAAAAATATAACCTGTCTCTGGCTCATTGGAAAGGAGATGTGTGGGAGCTGAGGTTTCAGTAGCAGGCATATGAGTTAGGATCCTTCCCTTCATTGTTCTCACCACCACCCCTTCATCTGCTGCTGAATCTGTGAGCATCACCCCCACTTCCTCTCCTCCAACCTCCTTGGTCCCTCCTCTGACTTCCAAGGTCACCAGGGCCTCGTCCCCCTGACCCCTCGGAGGGGCGCTTGACATGAGGAGCTGATTCCTATCTCCTCCCACCTTCTCCACAAAGGTGACACAGCTTCCTCCTCCTCCTTCCATTGTTCCTTCTCTCTCCTCCAACCTCAGTCTGTGGGCGACCCCAGGCCTGGCCTTGGCCTCCCACACATTCCAGATGAGCTCATCGATGCCCCAGGCTGGCCTTGCTCCTGCCCAGGTCTCGTGTCTGAGACAAGCAGGTCTCTGCCTTGAGATCTCACACAGCCCTTCTGCCCTGGCTCCTACATCTCCCAGGCCCCTTGGACCCTTCTCCCTGAATCTTCACACTCAAGTCTATACCGCATCTTCCCAGATTCCATCCTGATCTCAAATGCTTGCCCCTCCTTCCCCGGGCCACTGCCCTAGGCCAGACCTTGTCATCAATCACCAGGTTCCATCCAGCAGCAGCTTCTAACTGGCTTTCCTGGCATGATAAAGGGAAATGAGCACAATGTTGGAATAAGAGAGTTTTGAGTCCTGGTTCTGCTGCTTGCTGTTTGTGTGACCTCAGACAGGTGAGCTTCCCTGAGCCTGAGCTCTTGGCGCAGCCTGAAGTGGCCTCTCCCTGCGTCTGTGCTCCTGCCGGTGGGCATGCTTCACAGCCTGTCAGCAGTGCGCTTCCTCTCCCTGCAGGACTCAGCTGCCCTGGGGCCAGGGCCTACGGCTTCTGCCCCCTGAGAGGCCACATACGCAGCAGAGGGCAGAGGGTCAGGGCCCGGGAGTCGGGGAGAAGAGTCTCCTCAGAATGTGGGGTGGGGGAGGTGAGGGGTCCGTTCATGTATTCAACCAACTATCATTTCCTGAGTGCCTCCTAGGAGCTAGTACCCTGCTAGGTGCTGGGAACACAGATGAGAAAAAAATGGACAAGATCTCTGCCCTCATGCGGCCTGTAAGAGGGAAACGGACCTTTAATGGGGAAAGATAGACAATTGAAAAATAAATGCACCAATAAATAATTGTATATTGTGCAGGTTCTATGAAGGAGAAAGGGAGAGAGCATGATAGACTGGGATGGGCGCAGATGGAGGAGGGCAGGTGTTTTGGAGGACAAAGCATTGGGGTGGGGGGGGGGGGATCCTGAAGCACCTAGTGGGATGGAGCAGAGGAAAAGGTGCTCTAGGCACAGGGCTCGGCAGGGTAAGGGCCCTGCGGACAGGTTGGGGCTGTCCAGGTCCTGCGAGGAGTACAGGGGGAGTACAGGGTGGCTGGGGCTGTCAGGGGCTGGATTGGCCTGAGGGCCACCGTATTCTTATTTT